TAAGCAGCAGCCTAGTCCCTTTTTTTTCCTTAGTCGAGTAAGGAGACTTCTGTCCTTTATATCTGGTTTAGGAGCCGCTTAACACAAGGAATGTCACAGATAGAGTCAATTTCCTGTATTTTTAATTATTGTCATCTAAGCATAGTTTTCAGCTACAGCTGACATTTTGTTGATCTTCCAAAAAACGGAATTATTTTCCTTCCACTCAATTTTCCGCCACACAATTGAATATGTCCTTCTGACGCTTTTAAGCCTTCGTAGTTTTCCCTCCACGTGGGAAAGCTGCCAAGTTAGAGATCTTGCTAATATAATGTATGCTGACAAAGTCATAACAGTTTATATTTTAAAAGTCCTTTTATTTTGTCTATGTTAATTTTAGGTTTTCATCTTCTGTGTGGCATTAATAAAGAATACAAAAATAACTGCATGAAAACTGACTCTTTAAACTGAAATACATCAACCTTTCAATGAAATGCTGACTTATTTAGATTCATTTGTAAATGAGTTTTCTTTGTGTGTTGTTTTACTAAAACTGATATGTTCGATAATTTATCTATGCCACTAATGCCCGCAGTGCTGTTTCAGCATAAAACACATTTTTTGATCAGAATAAATGAGTGCATGCGGCTTAGAACGAGCTAAAATCTGGGTTTTAAAATTCTGCAAAGGTTTGGAGAACTATTCATTCCATACATCTCATTTATCACCTGATTCCTTTCCTTCTAAGCGCCTCCGAGCTAAAATGAACCCTCAAATACTAAATATATATCCAACTTTCTTGCCTGAGAGATTTGTGATTTACTGCAGTCCAGCTGCCGGGTGAGCAAACCCTTCACTAGTCAACCCGTGCTGCCCGTCTGACGGGCCAGGACAGAGATGGATGGCTGTTAGTGTGACACCTAGCAGTGGGTTACATGGCCTTGAGCTTTATCATCTAATTAGGCTCTAATGTAACTACAATGCTCTTGAGAAGATGTTGTCTTGCCCACCAAGCCTCTTTAAAAGCCTCCCTGGGGCAGGAGACAGCTTGGAGTGAGGTCCTGTGGCAGACCACAGCCATGTCCAAATGAAAGGGTCAGGTTTCCTGGTCCTCTGCTTCAATGTACTGGAAACACTAAGCTGTTGGTTAAGAAAAAAAAATAGATTTCCAATTTTACCCAAATTAAATCTCTGACACAAAGAGAAACATGTTAATTTTTTCATTTCTGGTCCTTACAGTCAGGAAGGAAAAAAGCAACACAAATTTCAACAAAGTAGTTTATTATAGTAATATAGGACATTGCTTAGTTCTGTTATTACTTCAATAACAAAACAGCTTATCTAAGCTTGGAAATAAAATTGACAATGCCTAAAACCTCAGGTCTGTAATAAACAGAGCTAACTTAGGAGCAAATGGGCAATTTTGAATGTGATATTTCACACCTGGAGCTAAAGACAACTAAGATTAGATCACATTTCCCACCTTTTGAATGAGAAAGGAAAAGTGACATAATGCAGTGATTTTTAAGTTAACTTATATACCAAAATCTGCCTTCAATTATAAATACAAGCGACAAATCACAAAAGGTTTAGATAAATTTAATTCCAGTCATTTCCTTTTTCCATTTAAAAAAAATTACCCCTAATTTTATTTTTGACATATCTTAGAACATCTAGAAAAGTTTAGATTTAAAAAACGAGGCTGTATATACTTTAAATGGCAATTTATTTTATTAGGGTAAAAATCTAAACCATTTTGCTCTGAAAATGTAATCATCTCCTTTCAAACTGGAGGGACTCACACAAAAAAGTTGTATTTAGAAAATATTAAATGTACACATGTATACAGGCAACACAATCATATTTTTTAAAAATATTTCTATCTAAGGAAGACCAGCTGATTGTGAGAACTCGTTGACCCTCTGCAATCCCTCGCACTGAGCATGTAGCGACAGTGGAGAGGAAAACTCCCTTATAACAGGAAGAAACCTCCAGCAGAACCAGGCTCAGTAAGAGCGGCCATCTGCTGAGGCCGACTGGGATTTAACGAGACAGAAGCAGATGAAGACATAAATGAAATAAGTTCTTTGGCGCTTGGACCTCGGCAGAAAAATTCGATGCTGGGAAGACCTAGAAAAGGATTAGTCTTTCCCTGAGGCCCGGACACTGGTGGTGGAATAATCCAGAGGATGAGTGAGGCTGAGAATGAAGGAGGAGATGGGGTGGAGGTGGGTGAAAATTCACTTCCATGCGAGATAGAGAAGGTAGGCCAGGAGCTAAATGAAGGAGATCTTGCAAGATGATTGGCTTCGGAGAAGATGCGCCCCCCCAAAGTTGATTGGCTGGAGCTGAACGAGGGACATCGCAGGTGGTTCAGGTGAATCTGATAAGTCGTCCAGATTGAATTTACCCTTAAGCTTCATTTGTTAAATTCAAAAATTCTTGTAAATGTAATTTCTACTGTTTATTTCACAAGGCCTGTTTGATGCCAGACACGTTACAGAAACCCCTTATAGAAAAGAAGATGAGGTAGGTAAAAAAAAATCTAAAAGCACATCCTGCCTTAAAGGTATAGTGAAGGATGTTCTTTTTTCCGGGTGGATCATCTAAATAAGTGGTCCTCCTAATTATCAATCTTTGTGGTGATATGATTGAGTAAGGCCGTCCTACATGCTCGTCCCCATTTTTACTTACCGGTAAGTCTGACATAGTGGGAAAATTGCAATCTTCTCTTGGGAAGTAAACTTGTATGAGCGATGCAAACAGCAACTTTTAGATAGAGCGTGCACGAGGAGAAATGGGCTCCTGCATGCTCTCGTAAGGGTTTAATAGGCGTTCCCTCGCGGGTACAGGGTTGTGCAAGTGCTGAAGAGGGTGGGTCTTTTAAAAAAGAAAAATCTTGAAAATCCTCCACTATACCTTTGATCTAAAAAAGGAAAAACTAACAGCATTTCAGAAGAAAAACCTTATAACAAACAGGGTGGGATGATTGGAGGCTGATTTTCTGCTTCAGGACCAGGAAGTTGTGGCACAAATTCATCAGTTCATCAGTTTGTGACACATATTAACACGCTGGAATTATGCTGCAGTGATCTGGGCAAAGTCGAAAATTTGATCCAATTCTGATGCTGATTTTAAAACATGCTAAATAAAACCTTCATATATGTGAAAAGCATCAATTGCTGGTTAACCTGATTTTCACTACATACAAGAAAGCTTAATCTGAAAACATACCTTTAATATCAAAACTGGTTTGATATTGTAAAACATTTTTTATCCATCTACAAAATTTCTAATAATATCTATTTAGAAATCTTTATTGCATCAATTAATGGTTTTATATACAGTTAGAGTCTCTCCATTTTTTTTCTGCAGAAAACCATAAAATGCAACTATTAATTTATGGTGTGAAATACATTACTCATCTCCCCCCCGCTATGAATCAGTAAATTGTTAGCTTTTTCTCAACTGTCTGAAGCAATGAAATTAAAGACAATGTTGTCAATACTGCCGCAAAGTATCACATGATTTCCCATAATTTACAGCAGCTCATGAAGGATGGTATCATCGCCTTCGTATTAGAAACCGGTCTTGAGGGATTAAGTGTCTGACTGAAGGTCATCAGTGGCCTCTTGAGTGAACATAAGAGCCCTTTGTGGTCAGGTTAAATGCACCTGACAGGCCGATGCAGCGGAGTCGCCCCTTTTTAATTGACATGTAACGGTTTCATGTAGAGCCAAACTGTCTGCAACACTTCAGCTGCTGGAAACCAGAGCTCAACCACCCACTGCTGTGGTTATTGGGATTCATGTCACAAGCATGAGAAAGAAAAAAAAAAAAAAAAAAAAACACAGAGTACAATACGGAGGATAGAGAAAAATGTTTCAACTGTAAAACGATTAATAATCCCCGACTTCTATTGTATGAATTTAAGTTTATTATGATTTTATCAGGAAGAGTGAATGAATTTTTTGAAATATTCCAAAATAGGCATTGCTTCTGTATTTTGGGGCAAATTTCTACCCGTTTTTCCACATTTGGACACTGGCGTTTTTTTTTTTTTTTATGTTTCTTATGAAATAATACCAGTTCAGTCCGACAGCAAAGTGAGGCTCTCTCACAATTTTTCAGTTTCACCAAAGATCTAGAATTTGTCTAAGACAACTTCCCTGTCCCAGCTAAAGAAAAGCATTCCATAGCATCATGCTGCCACTACCGTGCTGCCCAGTATCAACAGTCCACCATTTCAAGTCCTACTGGCTGACTAGATAAATCTAATGGTAGGTTCATTTAACCAGAGCACCTTCTTCCACAGGTCCTAGAATAAATTATTTAAAGGTTAATTAGTCATTAATTGGCTAAATTAAACGATAATTTTCACAAGCAGGAACTCACAGGTTTTATATGAACTCAACTCTGAACAGCAGCCGGACAATAATTTACTTTCGCTCAAAGAACAACCCCTCTGACTGTAATGGTCTACAATTAAAGCAACTTTATTTTAAGGTTTATTCAAAAATCGGAAAGCAAAAGGCCGATTTATTTCACATCCAGAAATTAGCTTTATATCTTCACCAAATCAAATTAATTTCGAGGAAGCCGAAGCAGAGAACTTGCACAATAAAAATGTCTTTGTGCTTAAATATATTCTGAGAAATTAATAAGCCCATTTAAACTTTTAAAAAGCATTTATGACATTTAACACAATCCTTGAAATCGTAAAGTTTGAAGAAATATTTTATGATTCTTTCCGATTCAGTGTTATTTTTTCTCTCGATTTTTGCAACCATGATTGACAGCATGCAGGTTTGGTGGTTCTCCATCAGTTTACCCGGTGACAAAGCAGAAAGTACTTTGAACAACAAAGCTATGGTGTCTATCAGCACAGGTCAGCGTCTGGGGGCAAGTGTAGCCCCTAGCATAACCAGTGAATGATCACTTTGTCTCTGCTTTGACACATTCCTAATAAGTCTCATATTCTCCTACTGGTATGTGAAAACTTTGGAGAATGAAGTTAATGCTAAAAGTTAATAAAAAGCTTTTATTATCAAATCACATCAGCAGTTACTCGATATGAAAATATGGAGCCTGTTAAAGTGACAGCATTCTACAGTCAAATACACAGTTGGCTGTTGAAGGTTATCTTTTATAACAGCATAACTCAGGACAATAGAAGAGAACACAGAAAACATATATATATATACACTGTGGGAATAACAGCAAACAAAGAGATGTAAAAATTTGTGAAGGGAAAGCAGAAATAATATTAGCACAGAGGATCACGGAGTCTGGCAAGGGGAGAGATATTCTCCAGTTTTAGGTTGACCTGCAAAAAAAGAAGAAAAAAAAAAAGAAAAATTAGCTCAAGGACAGAAAAATATGGCGTTATATGTATCCTGTATAAAGCAGAAAATAAATTGAAACTTCATTTGTTTATTAAAAGAGGTATACACTGTTTGTAAACCCTGAGACAACATTTTACAACTACAGGTCCTTTAGAGTTCATCTCTACCAGCTTAGATATTGAAATATTTAAACATCCATTGCTTGGAGCTAAATGTCAATCAGTTAACATGCTTCAGGTGTTTGCACACTTTCATAATTTGAATTAGTGAGGAAATAAGTGTTTGAACACGATTGCTATTTTTGCAACTTCTCCCACTTTTGTATTAAGTTTTTGGAACGGCTCATTTTCTACAAACCACCAAAAAATTTATCTACAGCGAAAATAATGGTTGAATTTTATTTTACTCATCACTTGTACTGTTTCTAAAGAGTCATGCACATTTTTTTTCAGCCGTGCTGTGTGCAAAAAACAGCTAACTTGATAGTAAAGGTTGCAGAACACTGCATTAGACACAATCCTCCATTCGGGACTCATGAGTACATAAACTAAATACACATGTTGATATATGCACAATCAAAGCTTGGTATGCATAGTGATACCAATCTATGCGTTTCTCTTATATTTGCACTTTCAAAAATGAGGAATAGTCCAAGTGCACTGGATTTTGGCTGGAGATTACAATATACAAAGTAGTTGGTTGCAACTTCGACCAGGTTTTGGCTAATCTGCTTATGGCTTTTAATTACAAAAACCACAGGTATTCGAAACTGGAAAGCTGAAGCTCTTTTAATGTGTCTTTCAATTTTCTAATATTGAAAAGGATCAAAAGAAATATGGACCAGTCTGTTATGCAGCTGAATATGCAATCTGAAAACACACCTGAGTTGAAGAGAGTGTAAACTGCCAGTGTGCTTTTGTAAAATGAAAAGAAAAAAAAATCAAGAGCTCACTTGGGCTTTGTCTCAGCATCTGTTACTTGACGAATGAAGATGGCGTCCTCTGGATGGGAGATGTCTCCTTTCTCAAACATGTAGGAGGAGGCAATGGCCAGCATGGTACCATCATTGCTGAAAGCCAGTGAAGCAATGCTGGTAGGGTAACGGTGGAACTGACACAGGCGCTTTTTGTTGAATGGATCCCAGATATTGACAAAGCCGTCGGAGCCACCTGGCAAGAGGAGGCTCAAGGTCAACCTCAGAAGTTTAACAGTGAGTTACACCAGAGATTAGATCTTTATCAAAGGTCATAAGAAGCTTTAAAATCAAATCACCTTAAAACACAAAAAAATAGTTACAAAAACGCTAAATTTAAGACCTTTGAAAAACGTTTTGCTTCGATTTTAGGCTGAGCTAATTTATTAACGTTTATTTGATGTTTGAGGCAAAATATGCAAATGTGTTGCCTTTAGGGGATAGGTTACCTTTAGAGATAAATTCCACAGCCAGAACTATAGGGGCTGACATATTTAATTTTTTTTTTATGTTAAGAACAGTTTGCTATCCTGTTTTGGCTGAAGACAGCAACCTTGTTTTGTGATAAAGGCATAAACCAGTCACGCCATCTTCACCTGTATGATCTCCCCTTAGCCCACACTAAACTGAGTAATATTAGCAGGGCCAGATTCAGGTGCCATACCAGAGTCTCTCCTTCAGCAGCAAGGCTAATTTTTAAAGCTTGCGTACCCAAAACCCAGGACCTGAAACCTGCATACCCCGACACAAATGTGATCTTTAAAAAATTTGCTTGCTTTGGAAATTTGTGGTCCCTCATTCAATTTCTGATCCATCAGATGATGACTGAGGTGGGGAATTGAAGCCAGACTCAATAGCATTTCCTCTCAGATGCCTTTAAAAAAATAATTAAACAAGTCGTGCAGTGTGTCTTAAACAGCAGCGGATCTTGACACATCTGAGGCGCATGAGGTGCTTCACAAGCAGCAGATGCTGGAGTTGGAAAAATTGAACTTTTGCTCTCAACATGCCACATAAACCAATCAGAAAAGCTGATGTAGATTGCTATGATCACTCCTCTGAAACTTTTTATTGACTTAAAATGTTGAAAGCTGCCAGCAAAATATATTTTCTTATTATTCTCGTGCCTGCATGTTGGCCTTGCGTACATGAAAAACACTAAGATCTACTTCCACCCATCACGAACAGTAGCCTAAACCCCCAAAGAAGCAACTGGGTCTGAGGCAGCTGCTGCTGGGAATTCCCAGTGACAGCGCACCGTCGCGAGACTCCGACAGGGGAAAAAATTGTTTAAGGCAGTATCATAATCTACCTTAAACTAAATATGTTTTTAGATGGACTTTGTCACTTAAAAACACTTATCACAGCAAATATAGGAACGCCGCTGTCTGCCACTGAATAAAGCAGCCCAAGCATTAGATGCATCTGGACACACTTTACTGGACGCTCTTCAGGAGCATCAGAGATGTATACAAGCATCAGAAATGAAGCAGCAGAAGCTTTTATAGCATAATGTCCCTATGGAAAACTTTTTTAGCGGGAACATGCAGGCTGCACTGTTGGAAGCAGGTAAGATTGAAAGTTAACAAAAACCCATCGAATGCCTGATGACTATAGGTTTATGTTGGAGGGGTTTTTATTCTTTGAGACAATACTGTCCCTAGAATGGGGGGAAAAACAAAAGCCAACAAAAATAACACCTGGGGAGGAGGGCGCGATCCTTACTAAATCTGTCATAAATTACAAAACAGATGCCACAATTTTTTCATGGTTCTTCAAAATAATTAGAATCTTTTTTTCAGAAAGATCAATAAATGGATGTGGCTCGTGGATAACGGTGGGCTTATTTTTCCCCTTTGGACATTTACAACTGCTATAAATGCCCTTCAGCGCAACACACCTGCTTGTGTAACACATCAGCTTACCGTATTTTCACGACTATAAGGCGCACTTAAACGTCTTTTTTTCCCCTCAAAATGTGCGGTGCGCCCTATGGTGCGGTGCGCCCTATGTGTGTTGTAACTGCGACTTTTGAGACCACCTCATTGAGGAGATGATGAAAGAGTGGCTGAATGTAAGGAGACCAGGTGTTTTTTTTCCACTCATCACCATCGCTGGTAATCTGTGACTCCATGCGTGCCCATCTCACAGCTGATGTGAAAAACATGGTGAAACAAATTAAGCTGTGCTCGCTGTTACTCAACCGCTCGACATCGGTGTGAACCGGACCCAGCAGGTGCAGCAGAAGCAGCGAGTTTACATGCAAAGTCAATGGTTGACGCGCGTATAGGCGCAGCAAAAGGTCCCGCAGCGCGTTTTGAGCAGCAGGCGCTGCGCGTCGGGAGCGTTTAAGCATCTGCCAACGCGCTGCTGCTGCTCGAGATGGAAAAATTTAAGTTTTGCTGCTGGACGCGCTGCATCAACCAATCAGAGAAGCTGATCTGGGAGCTGACAGCGAGACAGACACATCGCTCTGATGACATATGATATTAAGGCAAATGAAAAGGGCTGGATGGATGAGGAGATGATGAAAGCGTGGCTGAGGCAGGTGTATGTGAGGAGACTAGGTGGTTTTTTCCACGCATCACCATCGCTGTTAATCTGTGACTGCATGCGTGCCCATCTCACAGCCAATAGGAAAAAAAAGGTGAATCAAATGAACGCTGTTATCCCGGGGGTCTGACAAAGGATCTTCAACCGCTCGACATCGGTGTGAACCGGCCGTTCAAAGTAAGGCTGCGAGCGGCGTGGGAGCAATGGATGACAGACGGAGACCAAAGTTTCAGGATAAGTGGAAGGCAGTGCCGGGCAAATTACGCCACCGTTAGCGGATGATTTGTAGATGCTTGGACTAACGTGTCTGCTGGCTCTGTTGTTCAAGCTTTCGCAAAAGCCGGCATTATTTCTGAGGAGCCGCGCTGCACGGAAAGTGACTCTGACAGCGAAGAAGGGGAAATTGGCATGTCTGATTTAGCGCAGCTGTTTAATTCAGAAACAGAGGATGATGACTTTGATGGGTTTGATTAATACTTTGTAATAAATACATGAATAAAGCACAATCATACTCAGTTTCACTCCTGCTCTATTTTTCTACCTGAAAACTTAATTCAACAGCAGCCTCTGGGCGCGTCTCCTCCTCTTCACCGCGGCGGCTGGCAGGTGTTTTTTCATCTAAATAATCTAAATCTTGCAGCTATATTTGCTGTGATCAGTGGGAATAAAGTAGTTTTAATATGTTTTTAAGTGAGAAAGTCCACCTAAAAACTTAATAATTGCAGTCAGTTCATCCAGATTATTATCCTGCCTATACTATTTCTGTCGGAGCCGCTCAGACCCCTACATACCAGCGGTGCGCCGACAGTAGAAATCCCTTCATATTCTTCTTATTATACATGTAACAATCAAGTTTCAGCTTTAGCAGTAAGTTTAAGTTACATTTTCTGATTGCTTGAATTAACCAAACCTTATGAAATTTCCACCTATAGTCAAGGGGACATACTTCCCATAATCAGGAAAAAAGTAGTGTTGTAACAAAGGCAAAAAATGTAGCTGAATTCCACCTCAAAATGCAGGAAATAGCATTTTAGAGTCTAAATTTAAAAATTTTTAACCTAAAGATGCGATACACTAAGGTGTAAACCCTATGAAATATTCCTTATTGAAAGCCTGCTTGTAAAGGTTCTTTACAGCCAAAGGTTTTCATGCACATTACTGGAAATTCATTGTACCTGTTGCAAAGGTGTTGTGGAAGCCATGAAACGAAATGGCGTTGACAGGGTAGACCTGTTCAATTCCCTCCTCCTTTAACCTGTGGCACTTGAAGGCGTATTTCTTCTTCTGAACCTCCTGGCTCGGATCCAGGTACTCCACAGCAACACGACCTTCGATTGAACTCAACACGTAGCCCTGAAGCCATTACAAATAAAAAAAGAAAACATTACACTCAGCCTTTCTCTTAATACTAAATTAATAGCATAACTTAGGAGTGAAGCCTTGATCAAATCCAATACCGCCTGCAGATTTTCCTTGCCGTGCAAAAGGTTTACCTGTTTGTTGGGGAAGGCTCTGATGCAGCGAGTCTGATACTTGAGGCTGGACTCTCGTCTTTGCTGTACGTAGCCCATGTTCCGTAAATCCCACACCAAAACTCGTCTTCCTGCTGTACCCACAATCAGCCTGTCTCCAGCCACAGAGAGGGTGTAGACCTTTAGAAAAGATGGCAGGTTTAGAACCAGTGAGATCTCTAAAAAAGTTTAAAGGGAAAAAAGCCAAAAAGTACCCTCTACTCTGTTTTGCTACCTTTTCAGGTTGAGTAAAGGTGCCAGCATTGCAGGGCGTTCGTGGATCCCACAGTCGGACTGATCTGTCCCAGCTCCCAGTTACCATAACATTTACCTCCGGGCAGTACTCCACACAACGAATGGGGGCATCATGTGCCCCCACTACTGTATCTGTTTAGATAATAAACATTAGAACAATTAACATGTTGTAATACAAAAGTATAAAGACAGATTTTAGTTATAATAGGCATGCAGCAGTTACTAGATTGAAAAAAGTAAGGCTTCATAACAGGTTAAGTTTTTTGTCATTCTACTACTTATATGATAATAATTACATAATGATACCAAATGTTACAGAGAATGCAAATGCTTCGTGTGAGACCAAAAATACAAAATACCCATATCAGCTTAAAATATCGGCCGATCAAAGTATCGGTCTCTACCCCAAACAGCTAACCGTGGAAATTAAAGTTAACTACGACTATAAGTAGGAAAGAGGTTATTTATCTAGCACCTTTCAAACATAAAGGGCGGTCAAAAAGCAAACAAAAATACAATAAAAGTACATTCATCATCCCAGTGGAAAAAACAACAACATACAATTACATAAAAAATTAGCACAGAGGTAAAATCAATTAAGAAATGACCAAATAAATTGTTTTTGTGGAGAAAAAAAGAATTGATTTGGAGTTCTTCTAAATTGTATGAAGTTTATGTTGTTGAGTAGGTCACAATTCAATGCATATTTCATATTTACCCCCACTTTCAGTTTGTTTATTTTTAGGGAGTCAAGAACCAGAGCCGTAATCATAAAACTGAAAATGATAATTTTGCTTACTGCAATTATACCATAAGAATTTTACATGGGCCAATGCTTAGTTATAAACCAACATTTAAGGGAATTTAAAGGCACACCTTGGTCTGTGTTCAAATCGTGAGTCTTTAGCTGAGCCTCCAAATCTCCACTCCAAGAATGTGTTGAGTCCTGAAAGCAAAGGTAGACAGTATCCGCTTGCAGTGGTTTTTCCTCCCTTTTATAAATAAGTTCACTGAATCAAGTCAAAGGCAAAACAACCTACATAAAAAGCACAGTCGAGCACAGGAGCTGTGTGCTGGTACTTCATCCTCATCGTGTTCCCTCCGACATCATACAGACGAACTGTGCAATCCCATGAGGAAACCAAGAGGAACTGAGCAGTACTGGGGCTGAACTTTACAGCAGAGATGCCGTCTTCAGGTGTCTGGTTTAGCTTGTATTCGTTAGAGCCTGTCATCTGTGCAACAGAAAAATTAAGGTCAACAACACTTGATATTCATCAGCAGAGCTCATCTACTAGAACAAAAAATGTATCCATTCCAAAAATTGCGATCAACAATGTCCATATCTTTAGACGTTCACATTCATGCAATGCAGTAATGGGACTGGATGTGAATCTAAACAACACAGCAAAAAGCTGAGCAGGATAGAAGAATGTAACAATTACGCTACACATTAAAATGCCAGCAATTCACACTTCTCTATTTTTTAGCTCATCTTTTTAAGTATAATTACTAAAGTTTACCAGGAATATGTGGCAGATGTTTCAACCGTGTTAGCATTACTGTACTTAAGTACACTTTTTAGGTATCTATACTTTACTCCATTAGTTACTTTCTTCCTACTTCTGACTCCTACTCATTAAAATTTCACAGAAGTACCTGTACTTTCTGTCCCTTACATTTTTAAAACAAAGGTTACTCGTTACTCTTGGTCTAATGTTTATAATATCTATTTCGCGTCATGTGTGCCATCCAATGCATATTATTGGCGCCATTCACATCTACTGAAAAATTGTGTAATTGGTTTTAATTGGTTAGCTAAAGGAAAATCATCAGAAGCAAGCAGGTGTTCTTCAAACTACAAACGTGAATAGATTATGCCATGCCACAATGTCGGATTCAGAAAAAAATTTTGAAATGTCTGAAAGGTTGGACACAGGCGGGAGCAAAAAGACCCCCATCCTCGGCCCTATTTCAAATAATTTTTTTTAAATAGTCGAAAAATTTAGCTTTAAATTCATTTAGTGGAATCTGGCTGTTTTTTTTTAAAGGTTACTTTATACTTTAAGTACGGTACGTTTTGGAGCACATACTTTTTCACTTTTACTTGAGTAAAGAGGTCAAGTTGATACGTCAACTTTTACCAGAGTGTTTTTAAACTGCAGTATCTATACTTATACTTAAGTAACAAATATGTGTACTTTTGACACCCCTGCATTTGAGACTTTAAAGCAACCCACGAAAAATAAAGCCAGGCAAAAGGCAAAAAAGGCAAGACTGTTGCATAGTGAGTTAGGGTTAGTGAGCGGTGTAATTCCTAAACATTTTCAGACTTCATAAGATCCCATTTAATATTATAAGATTTAAACATCTCATAAAAGGGTGGGGAAAAGGAAAACATTAATAACAGTTTAACCTCATTAGCTTTGCATAGTAATCAAAATTTTAAAGACTTAGACTTAAACAGATTTGTCACTTTGTTTACACAATATATATAAAAACAGTAATATAAACATATGACTGTAAATTTACAGTTCTAACAATTCAGTTTTTTTCTGTCTTTTTTAATATAATGATGAAATATAATAAAATAACTCATTTTACAAAACATCCAGCAGTCTAATGGCAGTGGGGAAAAAAGAAAAAAAGATTATATTTTAGGAAATGGACAAGAAAGTTTCAAGAAACAATTCTAATCTACTCTAGAAAGACTCCGGGGTTAATGAAGCGTGTGGACAGCATAAGATCCCAGGTCTCAACAATCACTTTTGCTTCTAAAGAGATTAAAAACGATCAGTACCATCTCCATGAATACTAACCAACTTTTACAGGGACGAGTTGGAAAGCATCATGTGTCTCGACATGATGGTGTGTTACAATAGCTGCACAGGAGAAGGACTTAGCATTAATAGTAAAGATGGTACAGGGATCTCGTCGGTTTGTTACACGGGTCCGAAAAGAGCCATAAATATTGCCCCAGAGCCCTTCCAACAAACAAAGTGTTGCATTTATGTACATTCTGAGTCGAGTGACAGGAAAAATTCTTATGCGTTTATATTTGACAAAAAAAACTCTTCATAATTGTTCTTTCATCGCTACTACCAGTAATTACACCAAGCCCGGGTCAACTAGCTTTAGCAGGTGGCTACAAATAGTAGCGTTAGCTTTTTTTTCTCCCCTTTACTTACCGTTGCGAAATGGTGTCGTACTGGCACAACTTGGTAATAAATATCGCAAGGTTGAGTATTATTACTCAACACGAGACAAAATATAAAATATAAACGCAGAACGTGCCAGAAGGCGAGGCGGTAGCCTGAAGAAGGTTAGCTTCCTCGCTCAATGGACGCTAACATGCAGCGAGGAAACCGATTGGCTGAAATCATCGTTCAAATCCGCGCCTGCGATCTCATTGGTTGTTCTTATGGCTACGTCTATTTCCGTAGAATTCACACAAGTCACGTGATATGGGTCCCTTTTTTCCTAGTCTGCTTTGTGCTGGAAATTTGAAGGCAGTCAGAATCGATATATAAGTAGAAATATAGTGGTATTTAGTGAGTTTTTGGCTCTTTTTTTTTTTAAAAAAAGCGTTGCCCCACTTTAAAAATGAATCGTCAGGAGTATTTAACGCTAGCCATTACAATTGTTTGAAAATGAATTAAAGCATTATTCGTTTTCAAATGTTATATTGTTACTTACCCTTAAAATAAATGAGTTATTAACTCATAACTCGAGTAACAAATCATACAGATTAAAATCAGTTATCCTGGTTCATTAAGATATGTTATTTGTGAGAACATCAAGTTGACATATTTGGGGGATCTTTATAAATATTAATAACTGTATATATTATTTTATTTTTGCTGTCATGCTAACATCATGAAATAAAGCAATAAATTATAAAATGAATGTTTTCATCAATAGAGGTGACACTGTTTAAGTGAGATACAATACAAACTATTAAAGGTGTCAATAACTGCAACCATATTTTTATTTTACACGTATGGGTGAGAGATTGGAAAATGAACTTAGGGCTTCACTGCTAATTTAAACTTTTTTTTTTTGCAAGTATCAAGTCAAACCTATTAGCAAACTGGGCCTCTTCTTAATGAAGAAGAAGCTTTACAGCACATCTATGTTGGGATTGTCAGTGAAAAGGTTTATGTATACCTTATTTTAAGTTTTGAAAACCTTACTATGTCAGTAAAGATTTAACCTTTTTTATAACAGGATATTATCTATTTAATGGTAATTTTAACATAGAGAACAACAAAATAATTATAATAATAAATTATAAATGAATTCAACAAATCAGCTGAGATGACTTTAGTACACTTTAAAAACTGATTGTAATTTAATAGCTCTACTGGCACCTTTAGCCACTTGCATCACAAAGGCTCATGTCAGGACTCAGCCACTCCAGTCATCCTGGCATTGTCAAGCAGCAATGTCTACAATCCAGGCTCTTTTTATGAGTCATTTCATAATGACGGATGAGTTACTGGATGCCAGAGTTCCATGCATATTTTGAGAAACAACCAAACCCCCAGAACACATCTCCAAGTACCTATCCTATACTTCCATACCCTTCTGCACTTCCATCTGTGGCTTCCCTCTATTTTCAGTGTCTGTTTATCTGACACAATATAAATAATAATCATCCTTCTAGGTTGCTTATTGCTCTTTTTTAATTTAAGTGCATCCTTTCTATTCTCAGTTATTAGTCATTTTGGATCAAAGTGTCTGCAGAATAGACATTTAAATATATTTTAACTTGATTTGGAAAGATTGCTAAAAAATCAAAACAATTAAGTCTGTAAATATCTTCAACAATATTATGAAATTCTACTAAATTGTAAAACTTTTTTGTTTGTTTAGTATGATGCCATACTGCTTCTGCTGCTGCATTTACACTTCTCCTTCCATTACTTCTAATGTTATTAGTAATAAAGACAATCAAAGTGATATAAATGGGTACATTTCCCCATTCTCTATACAGTGGATCTCTTTTATAGAATTATCATTATTTGCAGAGAAAACAGGAAGAAATAAAATACCATTAAGTTGGCTGAATTACAATTCAGCTGAATTAGTGAATTTCAAACAACCTCTATATAATTTTGCTCACTATCAAAAAAATTCTCAGTCTCAGTGCTGTTGGTAAACAAGTTAAAGTCTCACATATAACAAAAATGCCCTCGATCATAAGAGTTATGACAGGTCTAAGCCTTTATTAAGTGGAGATATTTAATCATAATAAACCATCTGGCAGCATGTTGTCTTTTCTATGATTGACAACACACACAAAAATCAGAAAACATTTTGACTGAACACATTTAGATAATTTACAATCAAAACCTTTAGGATTTGTTACCAAAGATGCATTGTTAGAATTTAACCATTACTGAAGAATACAACATTTCATAACCTATACCTCCCAAATTCAATTTAACCATACAGATGATACTTTTTCTTTATTGTTTTTACATCCCTTGGATTTTGGCCTTTCTTGCACCCTCATATAGCTTTAAGGTAACAATGCAAATTAATAAAATTAATAAGAGTGACACCTATAAACCTCTGCAAAACACAAAATTACACAGTTTTAATGTATTATTAACTGCATAAATGCAAATTAAGAAATGGGAACAATAGCCAATTAAAATTTGTGAGTGTGGAAATGTTTTTCTACAAGTGTTAAAATAAATTAACACAGATTCCTTGAATAAACTAAAAAAAAGAACTATTTATTAATTTTATAATAAAAAAAGGTGTTTAAACTTTTATAATGACCGTGTAGAACTAATATATACAGTTCCCATATCAGAAAATAAAAATAAATACACAAAGGCTATGAATGGCTCTGTCATAGCTTTTAATTTACAACCTTACTTAAAAAAAGAGAAAAAAGATAACTGAAAAAAGGAACAACAGATCACTGTTTTTGTACAGTTTTCAGGTATTCTCTTCAGAATCACAGGATTGTCCTCACTAACCAAACAAAACAGACTTGTTTCGCTTTATAAAAGGAGGTTTAGGTGAAACAAAAGGCGGAAAAGCCAACATTATTGCACGATTTAAAGAGCTGAAAATATTTGGACAGTTCTTTGCACAAAACACTGACGCAATTTTTTTTTTGGAATATACAGATTATCCTGTTTTAAACAAGCTTATGCTCAAACCTCACCACTAAAAAAAACAAACATTTAAAATAGAAGCATTATTTTTGAAATCCAGAGGAAATAATGTTTTTGGTCTAATAATAATAATAATATACAAACTTCCATTTTTGTCATTGAGAAGCAGCTCCTTGGTTAAACGGGCCTGAGCAGCGGGCTGGGATGGTGGGAATAGTACATGTGATGGGGGAAAGCCAGCAGGGACTGGCTGCCGGATGAGTTCGTACCGGGGCTCGCGCTCGCGTCCGAGGCCCCGCTTTCATGGTAAAGTATCGGCACCCGTACGATCCTCTGCGCCGCGGCGTGGCTCATGTTGGCCGCTTCCAGCTCGGCGGCCAGCTGCCTCTTCCACTTGTTCCTCCGGTTCTGGAACCAGATCTTCACCTGCGTCTCGGTGAGGTGCAGAGACGCGGCCAGGCCGGCCCGCTCCGAGCTGCTCAGGTAGCGTTTGATGTCGAAGGTGGACTCCAGCTGGAAGACCTGGCTCCTGGAGAACACGGTGCGCGTCTTTTTCTTCCTGCAGGGCTTCTTGTCTGAGTCTAGCTCGTCTGTTTTTCTCCTCCAGTCCTCCTCCTGGTCGGTTTCCTTCTTGGATTCATCGGCGTCGCTCTCATCCAGAGCCAGGTCATCATCGGCGCTCTCCTCTTTATCTTGGTTATTTTTTTGGAGATCCGGGCTGCGAATATCCTCCTCCCTCTGATTGGTCTTTTCTGGAACTAAAATAGAAAAAAAAAGTATTAATTAATTAATCATATTAATATATATTTTCCTGATAGTCTAATAATTCACAAATTTATTCATTATAGAATAGAAAATAAATTTATTGTCCCACAATGTGGAAATTTTTTATCAATAATCCAAAACAATAGTCAATTATTTATGCATTTTTAATTTTTTAAGAATATAGAAAAAAAAGCTTAATATATTTAAAGCAAATACAGGAATTTACCTGAAGCAGTCCTAAAATGCGCTCCCAGAGTGTATGGGTACCACCACGCAGACGCTCTCTCCAAATACTGAGCCGACAGTCCGATCCTTTGGCCGGGCAACTCTAACCGAGGCAGAGACAGCTCACTGAGTCTGGAGAAAAAGCTGCCTTCAAAAACTCCTTTGGAAGACCCCAGTGGGAGGGTGGGCTTCACTGGCTTGTCCTCGATGTTGAGCAGGTTCTTTATGGAGAAAGGTGAATCCTTTGCGGCTTGGCGAGTCTCCTGAGTGTCAGATTCTGCCATCACCGCTTATTGTCCAATCTGAATAACCATTAAAAACTTTTAGAGGCAGAAAATCAATTTTGAAGAGAAAAAAAGTATGCAGATGTGGTGAAAATACAAAGAAAAAAAAGATGTTGAGTCCAGGCCTCTCCAGAGGATGGTCTGGACTGGAAAAAAGCCAGGGATCCCTGCACCAAACTCTGGTTGTATTGTAATGACGCGCAGTGGAAATGCCATCTGACTTAAAGCGCGCTGGCGCTCTCTGCTATTGGGCAGGTACAATAGCAAATAGGATTTAAGATGGAAACGCGATGGGGGGGCTGTGACGGGAACCGAATTCGAACGGAAGGAGAAGAAGGCCGCGCAAACGTTTTGGCTCCGGGCTCAATAGTTACGCACTCACTTATCATCCAATTAGATTAAAGAGGAAAATCTCTCTGTGCTTTGGGGCGCGCAAAGGGGAGCCGTGAGCGCCTATCACCAATCATCTGCCAGTAAATTGAATAAATGTGGTAGAGAAGAATATAAACACACATATAGTCAAACGCATATATAAAAAATATCTGCATGCGCACTGCATACAAAAAAAAAAAAAAAAAAAAAAAAAAGGAATCTAAATAAGTTTTTTTTTATTAAAATAAGCGCATTGTGTCTTGAGTTGAGGAAATAAGTGAAAGTTTATATTTAAATTAAGAAAAAGCAACTGCATTGTCTAATTACAAGCGCATATTATCTAATTATCTTATTCTAAAAACTAAAAATACTCATTTAATTGTTATTTACCTACTAAAATTGTGTGTAAATACACTTGATTTAAGACATTTTTACTCATTTCTAGATTTTTTTTTAGCAGTTTAGAAGAACATCAAACATTATATAAAGCTCTGTATGCCACTGATGGAGCACTGATTTATGGCAAATTAACCTGAACAGTTTAGGTTGATTTCACAGTTTAAGTATTAGCATCAGTTCTTCACTATTGAAGCAGTGTTTTTGGCTCCCTTAAAGTTTTATTCCCACAGAAACGAGTACATTTTCTACAATTTTGGTCTATATATATTTACATTACATTTCTAAATATATTCCAAACTAATCTGAGACAAGAATATAAAATCATATGATTTGAAATAAAGCGAATCACATCTATTTAAAGTGACCACACAGGATGATGTTCCTCAGCTTAGCCTATTTGCATTCTTTACATAGGTTTGAAAAACAGAAAAACAACTTCTTATTTTTTTTAATTGTTAGCAATGTCTATCATTTGCAGTTTTTTTCTAAATCAAACCATTTTACTGTTAGTGTTAAACCTCTGTGCTTGTTTAAGTATAATGTTCCTGTAAAACAACAAACACAAGAAGAGTAACAAAGTCAATTTTTCCATTGAGTTACTGCTATTCTTACAAAAAAGAAATACACAAATTCCAGACTGCTCTTTTTAAGAATTTACTGAGATTTCTGTAAAAAATGTTTTAATAACCAAAGTTAAACTCGATCAACGTACTGTAAAGCATTGTGGGAGAAGATGTAACACATAAAATTTTTCCATCAATAAGGGAAGGTTGTCCAGACAGTGAGGAGGATTAAAACTCAACTTTCCAGGATGAAAAAAAAGATTTACTTATATTATCTTTATCTAGTATTACCAATTAGCCAAGGATAAAATTTATTGTGAATACAAAATACCAAAAGCAGAACAAAAAAAACTTTTAAGGGGGAAAATATTTTTTTATCTTATAATATGTTGAAGCTTGCCTGTCCTCAGTGTTTACAATGCAAAACGATTACTTATCCGCTTGCATTGTAGAAGAAAACACATATAAAGTGGAATTTCTTTTTGCTTTTCTGTGAAATCTAACAGTGGAACATTTCATTACCCATCTGTGGTTTTACTGTCAGTGTGTAATATTAACGGCAAAGAAAAACCACTGGATAGTGCCCTTAAAAGCAAAAAAACCCTAAACCATTAAATAATTACAGATTTTATTTGTTTAAGTGGGATCTGCTCTGATGCAGCCGGCGGTCGTTCCACCTTCAGCAGAGAAATATGTGATGTCTACCTAGACCAGAGCTTATTGACCTCATTGTAATTTTGTTAGGCAGGAAATGCTGCAGGCAGCTTAAACACTGAATTCCTTCCATCCTGATAAGGCCTTTGTACTAAAAACCCAAACAGGTGACCTAATGCAGATCGAAAGGTTCCTGTCAAATATATATATAAGCACGTGAATGGAGCAGATTGCATTTTATAATGAGACTTTAAGGCTGGATTCCATTTCCTAGGGTTATCATTCCCTGATAGCAATCCTCCTATCACTGAATGCAGAAGTTAAAATGTTTTGCCTGTAAACATATTTTACCTAAGATGCACAATTGGGCATTTAATTCCTGTAGGATTCATTATTTGTATTCATTTTTTGGTGCATATCTAAATATAATGCTAAAAGTAACCAAATTAAAAAGTATTTGAATGTTTCTTTTAAATATATTTGTATTATTTCAATATTTGAATTTTATTAGGGTTTTTCTAAAAACAGAAACATGTGACCTCTTAATGAATGTCATGTAACACTGAGCCAGTGCATTTAATTCTTGGTCTGGGCTTAGATGATATGCTGTGGCAATGAGGTGCTGCATCAAGCTAATAAGATGTTATAAGGAAGCCCAGGTAGCTTTAAAGCAGCACTGAATTCAGTCCTGCTCAACTCTGTCAACAGACTCCATAGTTTTCAAACAAAATGTCAAATGGCTTTTAATCAGAAAAGAGGCATTTGGAAACGACGAGTCAGGAGACGATAAATATCAGGAATTCCTGTAAGCTATGCATTTTTAAATCTCCCCTAAAACTCTCGAATTGGCTCACTTGTGCAATAACCTGTGTGCAATAATCCTGCTAAATAAGAGAATCCACCTGTTAAATATATATATGAAACCAACTTTTCCTCCTTTTGGCACCTTCTTTTGTGTGTTGAATTTCTCCACTGTGAGATCAATAAACAAGATCTTATCTTCTTTTCCAATCTTGTTATTGCTGCACTATCCCATATTTTTTTCCTTCCACTTAACTTTCCATAATAACCTTGTAATTAGATACAGCCCACTGTAAAAAAGTTACTTTCTTCATGTCTAGATTTAGAAATTAGAAATTACTATTTTTGGTTTGCTTGTAATATAATCTAAAGGAAACATATTTGTATACATTAAACAATAAATTCTACAAGTGGTTTAAATGGTTAAAAAAATATGTTGAGGAATATTTTAACATTAGCTATTTCTATGTTGATTTTTTTAAAATATTTTAGCACAGGGATAAAAAAGAAAACTTCTGTGAGTGTACATATTACCAAATCTCAGTTATGAAGGGCTGCAGAGCCATCTACATGTGCCTTCCCCCTACAGTAGTAGTTAGTATTTCCTAGTCCTTGAGCAACCAAGATTTAAGGGTTTATAATGAGTAGAAAAAATAAATAAATGGGACATAAGATGGTAGGATTAGATTCAATGCTTTCTTGTGGTAGGATATTTCTATTTTCTTTTGCACAGCAGACTTTACACCTCTCTGGTTTAGTCAAAGATGTATCTATATTCCTACTGAAGAAACATTTTGTAAAACATATATATAAAAGAGACAATCTGTACTTTGAATTAATCATCTAAACCAAACTAGCAGCAGACACAGAGAATTAATCAACCAAATTGAATTTGCTCAACCTGCATGCACATGGCCTGTCCTTTTAACTCGTTGAGCGCTCTTCAACGCGAAAGGACAACACAGTGTTTTGTGAAAAGCTACTCGAATCCCTGAATAATTAGAGGTCTCATAGCAGTGTTGAAGATGGGGGTGGAGAAAAGAGGCTAGCTAAGCTGCATTTAAACGGGCAAAGGGAAAAGCGGCTGTGTGTTTTCCATATTGTGTTCATTAAAGAGATAACTAAGAAAGGATCAGATGAGAAAAACAAGTAATCAGTGATGCAAACAGATAAATAAAACTTCTCGAAATGACAGGAGCAGCTTTCTGTTTACCATCTTAGCAACAGTGCTTCTAAAACACAAAAATGACCATTTGTCTAAGATTAAACTGGAATTCCAAACTTATGATCTGGACTAGATTTCTTAATAATCTTTTTAATACATAATAAAACAAAGTTAGAAACCACCACTTATATTTAACTTGTCTTAAATAGCCCACTGAGATCAGAAGGATGGATATGAAATAATCTTAAAAGCAAGTTTGCTTAAGCATTCTCCAAAATTCATTCAGATCAGAACATTTCATGGTGTGTGAGAAGCAGTTTTAGCTGCCAAACATTTTCAATTAGATTTAGTTTTATTTTCTAGAACATACCCAGGCTTTGATGTAAACCATTGCAATTAAGCCGTTTGTATATTTAGCCCTATTTGAAAATGTTGTGGTTTATTTGGTACCTTCCCTTCGAGCAGTACATCTCTCCAGCTCCTCCAAAGTGACCATAAGAGGTTAACATGCTATCCTGGCCTGTCATTTCAAATGCACCATGTCTCTGTAGGTTTTTGGATGAAGGATTAAACATGTATCTGGTATTTAAAAAAAAAAAAAAAAAAAAACTTCATGTCTTTCTGTGTTGTTCACTAAAGCTCTGTAACAAAACTCTGAGGACTTCCCAGAACATCTAAAGTTATGATAAAAAATCAATTAGGCATAGTAGCACTTGTCTTTGTTTAGCAGCTGATGAAGTAAAGTTTGTCTACTGTAATAAATCATACCAAAATACTAATACTTAACTCTGAGTGAGGTTCAGATAGGCTAATAACATGGCTACAGATGTTTGTTATGAAATTAAGGGTTAGCTTATTGCAGAAACATTTCAAAGCTATTTGCTGTTGATATTTTTATTAAATCAATTCAGAATTTTCATTTTTCCCATCACATGAGTCATTCCTGCAAGAACATTTTTTTTTCAGTGTTTGTGTGTAATAACTGGGATTGTGCTCTTTGGAAACTAGAGTGTAGCTTTGAAAATGGAGCTCATTTTGCACAGCTGAACACAGGCTGTGGAAATTTAATTAGCCTTAGCTCCAAAATGATCAGTGAGTGAATTATGCCGTGCAGGCTCTTTTCATCTGAAGCACCAGCATAATTAAGCTGATATAAAATATCATTAGAGGTGACAGGCTGTTAAAAGACACAATAATTGACTGAACTCGCATTGAGGAGCCGCCTCCTCAAAATAATCTACCTGCGGTTGTTTGGGGAAGTGCTGCCATCTAGCGTGACAGTTTGGTATTACGTCTACCCTTTCCAGCTTTTTTAAAAGACTCAAATTAGAATGAATTATATATTTTTTTCTCTTTTTTTCAAGCAATAGTGTTTTTTCCTTTTAGCAGATAGGTGGATGAAAAATGCAGAAGGTGAGAACATGCAGCAAAGGATATCGTGGTTCCAACTTGAATTCTGGAGCCCTAGGATGAGGGCATACTCAAGTTCCCTGTACTTCAAATAGTTGCAGAGCATGCACTTTAACAATTGGATACTAAAATCTTCAAAAACACACACCATAAGGAAATTTTGGACACTGGGATTTATAGACGGATGCAATATTGGGTAAATGGATGCATAAAAGGGCAGACAAAAAGTCAAATCAATTAGAGATGGATCAGTAGATTAATGGGCTGGACGGAAGGATTCACTGATAAAGTAAAAAAACAGATGGATTCATGAATGACATTGCAAAAAAAAAAAAAAAGGAATCTAAATAAGCCATCTTTTTCTTAAAATAAGGGCATTTGTTCTTGAATCAACAATTCAGCTGAGACACTTTGCCAATGGAACAAGACAATTTACTAAGAAATAAATAATGGCATTATCATATTTCAAGAGCATATTATCTATTTATTTAACATCTAATTATTCTTGGAGTTAAAAAAAAACAATAATTCCATTCATCTTATTTACCTACTCAAATTAGGGGTAAATACACTTCATTAAAGAAATTTCTGCTTATTTCTAGATTGCTTTTGCAGTGTGTATAGCTACTAGTTTATAGATGGATACAGCTATAGAGAGAAGGGGTGCTGAGATGGACAAAGATTAATAATAAAAATATGAATGGATTTATGAATAGACAATTAATGGGGAAAACCAGTTAAAGTGATGCCATGATAATTATATGGATTAAAAACCCTGTTTAAGAGCAGCAAAGACGACACTGTGGCAAATATAACACTGTGGCTAAACTCACATTTAATACAGATTTTATGACAACTTCTTTATTGAGAATACTAGTATGATGAAGTATCAGTCGACACGACAGTATGCTGCAGTGAAGGGAAAAACAATTGCATGATCTATCAAAATCAAACATTAAAAGAGGAAATCCTCTGAAGGCACTGACACGAAGAAAATCTCAATTCATTTCAAACGTTTAACCTCACATCAAAACCAATGGGGGTGTTATGCTTACAAAACGGTTAAATAAATGCAAAACATGAGGGACAAACTACAGAAAATAAGTAAAATAAAAGGCAAAAAGAACCATTCAGCTGTAAACTCAAAACTTAATGATACAGAATTCACTAAATCAGTAACATCGGTGATTGGAACTAAACTATCCTGCAGGATTGAATTTACTGAAGTCACAGAAATGGTGAGAGCATGGAGTGTAACAGCAGAAACAGGATCGTTCAGGTTCTGGCTGGATGGTTTCAGTGATCGTACTCCTTATCAATGAACTTGGCCATGGTGGAGAGCTGGACATTTGTTGTACCTTCATAAATAGTTCCTAAACACAAAGAGACAAAACAGAAACATTGGATTTTATTCCTGCATTGTACAGATATACCAAATGTGTCATTATCCATCTCCAATGATTTGAATTAGATGTGATATTGCTGTTTTAAAACCAAATGTCAAATAATGCAATATATCTCTAATTAAGCTGATGCTTGGGGCTAAAAGTTACTTAATACTGCTTTGAGAGTCTCCGAGGTATAGTTATGTTGGTCAACATGCCTGTACACCAGCTGGAGAAACATCAACAGCCATTTGTAAAAAAAAAACAATAGTTTTCTTACATTTAAGCTGTTTGTTGTATAAAATGTGTTGTGTAGCTCTTTGTTAAAATAAAATTATATACTTTCCAAACTGGAGAAAAATAAAAGTGGTGGGATAAATAATTTAGCAGAGCTAAGTTTTCCTCCTTAATCTTGCACCATTCTTGTTCTCCGTGTGTGTGCATGTGAGCATGCATGTGTAACTGTTCTCAGTTGTCATACACTGTGGTGCATTGTTTCGACACAAATTTTAAATTGTTCAATGATTAATATGACTGCTTCCTTTTTGTATTTTGGGTGTGAAGTATTAATACATTTCAAGTGGTACCTTGTAAAGATTCCAGTATTGTGTTTTTTGCATAAAACAGGCTTTGCATGACCAAGTTTAGCATGTATTTTGTTATAGATGTGGTTAGCCTATTGCAATTCATTTTCCTAATGATTGACTATAATATGTTAGAATCAGTCTGAGGTATGGGAGAATTTTACCAAGCATTTAAACAGACTACTTAACAAATATATGTAACGGTAAAGCAACCAAAAATTATTTAACCCAGAATTTAGGTAGAAGAAATAACAAATTATAAAGTTAAAACAACCCTGGATTTTTACTGATTTAACCCAGCATTTGGGTAGAGGCTATAACCAAATGTATGGTTGAATTAATCCAGATTTGCAGTTAATTAATTCCATAATTTGGGTAAAATATTATAACCTATTTTTAGGGTTATAAAGGACTCAGCCATGAGTCAAATTAACTACTGCTGAGATGGTCCACTTCTTTTTAATGAGTTTTATTTAGAAATGTGATTTTGAAAATCATTTCCTCCTACTTCCCAAATATGTGCTACTTTAGTTTGGTCTAACACACGAAATTTAGTCACTTTTCATTCATTTTGTGACTCATCAAGGCTCACCGATTTTACAATCTCTGTAGTATTTCTCTATGGGGTAGTCCTTGGTAAAGCCGACTCCACCCATCCATTCGATGCACTTTGAAGTAGTTAGAGTAGCAACCTTGTTGTGATTAAAAACAAAACACAAACGGTTAAAAAAAAAACTTGAATCGAGCTGGTGTTCAATTTCACTGTACATTTTGTGTCAAAAACAGACAAAGATATAACAGAGGAGAGAAAATCAATACAAAAGAGGGATACAATAAGAGGCAGGAAGTAGTTTAGCAGGAAGTAGTTTCATGAAACATCATATTTCAAAGAATTAAAAACCCAACCTCTGCAGAGAAGTATTTGGCCATGCAGGCCTCTTTAATAAAGGGTCTGCCGGCTTCCTTCAGACGGGCGGCGTTGTACGTCAGCAGACGCGCCGCTTCGATCTGCGTCGCTACATGGGCTATCTGATGCTGCATGCCCTGGGGAAAAAAAGCAGTAAACGCTTTTAATAATAAATACACAGCAGCCAGTGCTTCAAGTAGAAAATATAGTGCTGGTACCCCCCTAAGGCCTTAGGAATATATGAAAGAAATATTGGTAATATTGTATTCACTTCCATCTATCATTCTAAACATCAACAGATTTTTAGCATAGAAATAAAAAAAAAAAAGTTAAAAAAGACAGTTCTCACATAAATCTACATAAGCTAATGAACTGCAAGCTTCGTGGTGTTAACATTGAAATTAAAAAATAACATACAAATATAAAAGATTTTTCAAAACATAAACAAGTGATAACTCAATTTAATCACGGTTTTCCTCTATAAAATATTTCATTCTAAGTATTTAGCTATGTTATATTACATAATGCACCAAGTTCTGTGAGAGTTACCAAAAAAATTTGTTTGGGAAAAATTCATAACTAAAGTAGGTAGTTATGATACATACATATAATAATTATTTAAAACAAAAATATAGAAAGCATGTTGTTAGGTAGAAGCAAAGAAATAATACTTGCTCAAAAAAAAGGACCTCTATCCTGTGCCATGGAGGGGGGATATTTGTCATCAAGCCCTCAAACTGGCAAGAACCAACCCCGATTTTAGCTATTTCATGAAAACACGTCACTGCAGTATCGGGTTAAATGCACTAATGCTAGCTAGTGGAGTCCAACCTCTGTTTCCTTGTGTAGTGAAGGACTGTTCAGAGTGCTGCTGTTAGCATTCAGTTCCTTTGAGCCAATTTTGAGCCAGGTAAACATTATAGCCAAAGTCTTGTATTTCTTCCACTTTTTCTTCACTTATCTGAAACACCTACTATCACATGTACGACAAGCGTTTTCCTCCAAACCGATGGGTCTCTCTCTACACACAATTCCTGAACTCAACAAACTGCCTACAAGCTTTAAAGTCGGGAGAGATTAAGAAGAAAGGGGACAGGGATGTAACGAGATGCACGAAGGAAAAAAGTCCCAATATGATTCCAAAAAAAGAAAATTAAAAACAAACCACTGGACTTTGATTCCAAGTTTGAAGAAGTTTCGCTTCCCATCCAGTAAGCTTTTTCAATTAAAAATGTCAGGAATAGCGTTGAGTTTGAGGTTTTATACCGCAGCCTAACAAAGCCGTGTTTTTGTTTTGAAAACATGCAAATTGAAACGGCTCCACCACTTTGGAATGGGGTCATTTGGCACTTTTTGTTTTTAATTTTCTTTTTTTGGAATGACTATGACCTGGAAGACTGAGAATTTTCACCAGCGTCCCAATATGATGAGGTGTAAATTTCAGAGGTAATGGCATACCGGCACAAAAAGCACTGACTGCTACGTAAAAATGTACAGAGGAGAGGAGCTGTTTTATTAGATCCTACATACCTGAAAGTCAAAGATCCGCTTTCCGAACTGCACTCTCTGTCTGGTGTAAGGAATAGTGTGGTCAAAGCAACCCTGAGACAATCCAACCATCTGCAAGCACATCACTATTTTACACTGAATGCATTTAATTAAAAGCCATTAACCCAAAGAGGTGTTGCTGTATACCTGCGCTGCAATTCCAATCCTGCCTTCGTTCAACATTCCAATAGCATACTTGTATCCATGACCAACCTCTCCTAAAATATTCTTCTCTGGAACCTAAAACGACAATGAGAAATCTGTGAAGAAAAACCACCACCTGCTGTACATCAGCCCAGAGCCGTTCAGAGTGTTCGGTCCTACCTTGACATTGTCAAAGTTAAGAGGGCATGTGGAGGAAGCTCGCAAACCCAGCTTGTTCTCTTTCTTGCAAATCTCGAGCCCCTCAGTGTCCCGGTCTACGATGAAGCAGGTGATCCCTCTGTATCCCTCAGGAAAAAAAGACACAAAACCAGATCTGTAGCATTCCGCTATGTTGGAAGTTTTAAAGTCATTTTGGAAACCCATAATTAGGGAATACAGTCATTAACAATGCACTTAAGAAGCTTTGATGTGTCTTACTGCAGAAGGATCCACATTGGCCATCACCAGGAAAACCCCAGCATGCTCTGCGTTACTGATCCACATCTTGGACCCATTGATTATGTAATAGTCTTTGTGTTTTTCAGCTCGGGTCTTCAGCGCAAAAGCGTCGCTCCCCGATTCGGCTTCAGAGAGGCAAAAGCTCCCGACCTGTCAGAGATCACAATGATTATAAACCAATATATATCATAGCTAGCTTATATTATATTATAGCTAGGGCTGCAGCTAGCAACTGATTTACCAAATGATTAATCTATCAGTTAGTTTTTTTGTTTTTTTTTTGACTAAACTAAAAAAGCATACTTTCAGTAAATTATTATTTCTCCATAAACAAAAGCTTAGAACCCGGGGAAAGTCCTTGCTTGCAAATTTTAAATGAATTGTAAAAGGCAAAAACAAAAACACTAAATCTAATGCTCACATCACCGCAATTTGATTCAAATAACTACATAATATGTTATAACATATTACATATGAGTATCATTATATAACTATATAGCTATTATATAAGTTATATTTTAAGGTGCTTAACAGGATATTTTAAAAAATCGTTTGAACAGCGTTAGGCTGTATAGAGCATATTTACTATTAAACAAAATTTTTCATATTCAAAAGATCATTTTTTTTTATATTTTTTGGACAGTTTTTGCCTAAATCCAGCTCTGGGTGGGTTATTCCTTCAGCCATTGGCCCAACAAATTGTCTGTATTGAGCCATTGATGAATTCATTACAAAATTAACTGACGATTACTTAAACAATTGATTAACAACAATATAACTATAAAAGCACAACCTTTGCTTTCATTTACGGTTAAATAAAAGGTCTCTATTTTGGTCAGGTGTACCATGTAGTTGAGATGGACTACCTCCCCACCTACACAGTAAAGTTTCACCCTTCATGTTTTGTCCCAGTCCTAATCCCAATCAAATGACAAATCTGTCATTATCTCCCGATGTATTTTCAAGTCTTTAAATGCCTCACCATATCAGTTGACAACCGGCTGAGGTACTTCTCTTTCTGAGCTGGAGTTCCGAGTTTCACAAACAGGGTGTTAATGAGAGTATTTTGGATGTCACAGAGCACAGCCACAGAGGGATCCACCTTCGCCAGCTCTTCAATCACCAGGATGGAGGAAAAGAACGTAGAGCCAGTGCCACCATACTCTGGGTCAATTTCCACCCCCATCAGCTGTAGAGTAAAAGAAAGTAAAACGAAAGAAAGTAGGACATTTTTAAAATTTGTGCGATAAAATAAATTAGAATACCACAGAAAATCAATGTCAGTAGTTTGTCTTTTTTTTTTTATTATTCATTTTTAAGTTTGTGATTTAGAGCTAATGAAATCCCCTAAATTTTACATCAAAGCCAACATAGACATTATGCTACGGCCATGCTATTGCCTACAAATTTTAGATAGGATTATTAGGTTGACAGCTGTCCATAGACAGCCGGCTACTAAATATTGCAAAAGAGGACAGCTTTTGATCAGAGCAAATGAATATTAAGCTGGTGGAAGGAAAATGATACACAAACAACATAGAGAATCACAACTTAATAATGAATAAGAATAATAGAACTTTAGGGGCTGATTCACAGGACTGTGTGGTCTGTGATTCAAGTTTGGCCAAAAAACACAAACATATCTGGGACATGGGTCTGGGTCACCTCTGCACCGCTGACAATTTTAGAAGTATCTTCAGTGAGCTCCAAAGTGCAGCTCTGTAGTTCAAAGTTCTACACCCACACATTAGTAAAATTAGTTTTCAGATCCCACTGTCCAGAAAATATGTGACATAAAACCTGTACAAGTCAACAGAAAACCAGCATACTCTTTAGAAGTAAAAGTGTAATAAAATACACTAACACAATGTGGTTAATAAAGAGTCTGAAATGTCTTAGAACTGAGAATGTAGCTAGATAATGATAAAAGAGTCATTACAAAATGTCCATTAGTTAAAGGCCCTCTACTCGTACTTTTTGTCTTCTGCTTCATCCAGGACCAGGTCGCGGGGCCCTCCAGAGCCACCTCAACTGACTCCTCTTGATGTGAGGAGAAGCGGCCCAACTATGTGCTTCTCTTAGATGAATCTCTTCACCCTATCTCTAAGGGAGTGCCCAGCTACCCTGCAGAGAAAGCTCATTTCAGCCACTTGTATCCGTGACATGGTTCTATTGGTCATGATCCAGATTTCATGACCAATAGGTGAGGGCAGGAACGTAGACGGACCAGTAAAGAGAGAGCTTTACCCTTTGGTTCACCACAACACCACAACAAACCGATGCATTATAGCATGTTATAGCAGCAGCTGCACCGATCGATTGTCAATCTCCTGCTAAGTTCTCCCCTCACTCGTAAGGAGGACTACAAGATACTTCAAGAGCTCTGCTCTAACCAGAAAGGAACAAGCCACCTTTTTCTGGTCTAGAACCATGGCCTCGGACTTGAAGGAGATGATCCTTATCCCAACCGACTTAATGCCAGCCTGCAGACCAAACTCCTGGTCCGTTTCTACAGACACCGGATGGCCTCAAGTAAAGGGTGCAGACCCCGAACCCCTAGTGCCCCTCACAGGACACCATGAGGGAAACGGCTGAATGCCTCCCTCAGCTCTACAAAACGCATGTGGACCAGCTGGACAAACTCGTATGCACCCTACTGAGAGTGCAAAGCTGGCTCAGCGTTCCTCGAGACAAAAACCTCACTGCTCCTCTTGAAGCTGAGCTTTTTTTTTAACATTTTTAAAGATCCTCTAGTTTACCCCAAATTAATTATTGAATTGCTTCGATTGGTTTTTCATCCCATCTTCTAAACCCCATGTCACAGCGTGCAAAGCATCACAGCAACCATTTCGTATGAAGATATCAGGCAGAAAAACAATACAAAATAACTTCCAAAGAAATAATACCACTAAACACACAGCGATCATCCTTAGGAGAACATTTGGAGCTACTTTTACATTAGCCAGAGCCCCAACAACAATTGACTAATAATTAAAAGAGAAGAAACTGGTAAAGGATGATGCTAAGAAATGTTTAGCTCCAATAAAGGAACCACAGGAATTTCAGTCAAAGACAGGTCATATAACACTTGCAACAACAATCTGCTGCATCCTTAATTAGGGGTACACTGATCAAATACTGATATAGGATATCAATCTGATACCCTAATAAAAAAATAAAACAAACGAGCTTCAGATAATATTGACCTGCATCTAAAATCTCTGACACGGCATCGTTACGACTGGCGTCATCAACTTATGTAAATATGAGTGTGCAGGTGCCCGTCGCTGAATGGTTCCTAGACAACGATGGAGATGTCCAATTGGTGGCCTCCTGGAGGTGACGGATATAAAATCTGCTGATGCGGACTTCTTGGGTTCATCCTCAGCTCAACTCAACTGGCCACATTGTTAAAACATCATGCAAAGTTCTGGAGCTTGTAGGAGTAAGGTGCCGTTTTTGTTTCCTTAAGTTTTCTCATGTTTTTCTTAGTTATGGAGGTAAGTTTTTTGTAATTTGGTTTATCTACTTTCAATTAGATAAGTTGGTTAATATTCAGATAGTTTCCTTTTGTCTGTTATTTTCGGCATTAGCTCTCTCTGAAGTCATATGCTCCACTTTTTGTAACATTTATTTCAGAAATACCTTTTTTCCATCATAAAACGTTCAACTTGGTGTGTTGGCTGCTTGGGATCTGAAGAGGATGATCTTTCATGTCATGACCTGGCCACCCCTGATAGAAACACTGATTCTTTTTAAAGTTTCTGTAACTCTTGGTTAATATTACATGTGTCAGTTCTTCTCTGTTTCAGTATTATTACTTAAACATGCTTTTTTAAACATCCTACAGTGCAAAATAAGTAATAAAAGCATGTTGAGAACACGCTTTTATTACTAAATTCTCAAAGCTGCAATATTGGTATACCGGGGTATGTCTTTTTCAATATTATGGACTATGGTAAGGCTTTTACAAACCAAAACATCTAGCCTAGGCTAAGCCTGCCATACTACACTGTAGGTTTTCCAAAAGCAGGTGAAAAAAAACAAGGTAGAATTTGTTTACAATAATTGCAAAAGGTAAGGTAGTTATTTAGAAAACATACAACCAGAGATGTCATGGAGAAGCATAGGTGGTAGCATCAGGCTATGGTCATGTTTTGTTTTTCAATGGGAACTGAAGCCTTGGATAGTGTGGAAGTCATATTATAGACCCTACTTTTCAGCAGGCTGCCATTCCCATCTAGAAATATTATTTAAAGCTCTTATATATAATATGTTCATAACATTCTTTGACTGTTTCTTATTGTAAAATGCAGAAATATGACTGTGTGTAATAAATATATGCTTGAGTTCCATATTTGGAACAGAATACCGCGGTGAAGTTAGTTTTAGGTTGGATATTCGACAGACATTCAAACCGCTTCTTCCTCCGGTTAATTCTCTTCTCCCCCACGGGAAAACCTCTCCTTTTCTCCGGGTACGCTGCGATCGGAGGAAGCCGCTCCAACACTTCCAGTGCACCCTTATTAGAGAATTTACAGTAAAAATACGGCGAGTGAAAACGGCTACATTGTGTACCAACTTCCTGTTTTCAAAATAAAACTGTAGGCTTACATTTTGAAGCCCAGAAGCTGTCAAACTAGAATATTTATATTTGTTGTATTTACAAAAACATTATACACGTTTAGAGATTTCATATTTAAACTAAATGTTGTATCTCATTAAACCAGTCTAGTACTGTGATTTCTCATAAATGTTGTGTCAATCCATCACAGAAACTGGAACATATTCAGCAAAACTGCCAATATCTACACATAGATACCTGGAAGCAATTGAGCAAAATGCTAATATTTCATTATAAAAATTAATAAAAAAAAATACTAGAAATTTAAAATGTAAAAATAAAGGGCGTAACTTTTGCAGACGATGGAGTGCTATGATTCAATATTGATTTTGAGTCAATTGATCACATTACCTGGAAGCTATTGAGCAAAAATGCTAATATTTCATAATATAAATTAATTAAAAAAATTTTAGAAATTTAAAATGAAAAAATAAAGGGCGTAACTTTTGTAGACGATGGAGTGCTATGATCCATTATTGATTTTGAGTCAATTGATCACATTACCTGGAAGCTATTGAGCAAAAATACTAATATTTCATAATAAAAATTAATAAAAAAATATTAAAAATTTAAAATGAAAAAATAAAGGGCGTAACTTTTGTAGACGATGGAGTGCTATGATTCAATATTGATTTTGAGTCAATTGATCACATTACCTGGAAGCTATTGAGCAAAAATGCTAATATTTCCACATAAAAATTAATAAAAAAATATTAGAAATTTAAAATGTAAAAATAAAGGGCGTAACTTTTGTAGACGATGGAGTGCTATGATTCAATATTGATTTTGAGTCAATTGATCACATTACCTGGAAGCTATTGAGCAAAAATGCTAATATTTCCACATAAAAATTAATAAAAAAATATTAGAAATTGAAAATGAAAAAATAAAGGGCGTAACTTTTGTAGACGATGGAGTGCTATGATTCAATATTGATTTTGAGTCAATTGATCACATTACCTGGAAGCTATTGAGCAAAAATGCTAATATTTCCACATAAAAATTAATAAAAAAATATTAAAAACTTAAAATGTAAAAATAAAGGGCGTAACTTTTGTAGACGATGGAGTGCTATGATTCAATATTGATTTTGAGTCAATTGATCACATTACCTGGAAGCTATTGAGCAAAAATGCTAATATTTCATAATAAAAATTAATTAAAAAAATATTAGAAATTTAAAATGAAAAAATAAAGGGCGTAACTTTTGTAGACGATGGAGTGCTATGATCCAATATTGATTTTGAGTCAATTGATCACATTACCTGGAAGCTATTGAGCAAAAATACTAATATTTCATAATAAAAATTAATTAAAAAAATATTAGAAATTTAAAATGAAAAAATAAAGGGCGTAACTTTTGTAGACGATGGAGTGCTATGATCCATTATTGATTTTGAGTCAATTGATCACGTTACCTGGAAGCTATTGAGCAAAAATACTAATATTTCATAATAAAAATTAATAAAAAAATATTAAAAATTTAAAATGAAAAAATAAAGGGCGTAACTTTTGTAGACGATGGAGTGCTATGATCCAGTATTGATTTTGAGTCAATTGATCAC